GTTCCAATTTGTTGTGATCCACACAGTCTAAGGCTTCAGCATAGTCAATGAAGCAGAAGTAGATGTTTTTCTAAATCCAATAAAAGTTTGCTAAAATTTTATTGGATTTAGAGCTCACATTTTATGTAAAGCTTGGAGACCTTGATGCTTAATAGCTCCAGTTTATTATTTCTCTAAGATTTTAAAGTGTCATTAAACTTTATTTCACCAATGGAAATATTAATAGTAAACATTAGGGTGTGAAGCAAAAATATGCTGTTCATCCAGCGTTATCAGAAGAAAAATCCATAAGTATTTATCAGAGAAACAAAAAGAATTTGAGAGCTGAAGAGCTTTCCAGAAATTAGCTAATCAGAGTTGGCAAATATTTAGCACAGATGCTTCCACTTCCTCAATCCGTACCCATAGCAGACATCATCAATCAATCACTACATTCTTCTGCTGTGTCTGAATAGAGCTTTAGAGTTCTTCTCAATTCTCAGAAACAACTCTTGATTTAGATAGTAGATTCTTCAGTTATAGGTAATGGAAACCAACTTGAGCCAACCTGGAGCCAAATAGGGAGAAATTTCGTACAAACATACAAAGATACCTCCCCAAACTCAAATGCAAGAATGCAGCTGGACCTGAGCAACCAGGAACTTGAAAGTTCTTGATCTCTGGGTTTTTGCATGCTTCCCTATTTTCTGTCTGCAGTCAGGCTTTCTCTGCATTTCTAGCTGCTTGAGATCATGTGGTCACTCAGACTCAATGTACTCATATTTAGAGATTATATCTGAATCTTAGCACCAAATTCCCAAGAGAGAGGGTCTGAGTAACGGTGCTTGGGTCAGGTGACGCTGCTGGCCCGGTCAGCCATATTCTAAAAGAAGTGACAGCTTTCAAAGCGTCTATGTTGTGCCCAGTCCTGTGGACCAGGGAGCAGTTCTCAGAGAGAGCCAGGATGGCTCACAGCCTCAGCAGATAGCCTGGGATATTTTCCATTAATCATTATGCATCAACAGGCAGGGGCACAAGATATGGAACATATTTTACTTTCAGGATCTAAAGCAGGGCAGACCAATAGAATTTTCAGTGACAATGGAAATGGTCTATATCTGCACTCTCCAATATGATGGCCACCCAACTCATGTAATAGGAAAGAAAACTAAAGAGGAGTCCCAGCTTTTATTTCCAGTTGTGCTATTAACTAGCTATGTGGTCTGGGAGCTCGGTTTTCATACCTTTAAACTAGAAAGTCCCTTAGACTGCAAGGAGATCACATCAGTCCATCCTAAAGGAGATCCGTTCTGAATATTCATTGGAAGGACTGGTGCTGAAGCTGAAACTCCAATACTTTGACCATCTCATGCGAAGAGCTGACTCATTTGAAAAGACCCTGATGCTGGGAAAGATTGAAGGCAGGAGGAAAAGGGGACGACAGAGGATGAGATGGTTGGATGGTATCACTGACTTGATGGACATGAGTTTGAGTAAACTCTGGGAATTGGTGATGAACAGGGAGGCCTGGCATGTTGCAGTCCATTGGGTTTCAAAGAGTCAGACACAACTGAGCGACTGAACTGAACTGAACTGAACTGAAACTGGAAAGGCCTAGATTTACACTGTCTAGTATGGTACAGGTACACTTTTAATGTGTCTGGGGTACTCAATCTTTTTTTTTAACGTTTTATTTATTTGGTTGCACTGGGTCTTAGTTGTAACCTGTGGAATCTTTAGTTGTGGCATGTGGGATCTTTCGGTTTCCGCGTGCAAACTCTTAGTTGTGGCATGTGGGATCTAGTTTCTTGACTAGGGATCGAACCTGGGCCCCCTGCATTGGGAGCACAGAGTCTTCACCACTGGACCACCAGGGAAGTCCCAAGGGGAACTGAATTTTTCATCTTATTTATTTTTAATTAATTTAAATTTAAATAATTGTATGTAGCACTATACTAGACAGTGTAAATCTAGGCCTTTCCAGTTTAAAGATATGAAAACCAGGCTCCCAGACCACATAGCTAGTTAATAACACAACTGGAAATAAAAGCTGGGATTCTTCTTTTTAATTTTTCTATCCTATTAGTTGGAATTGGGAAACCTAGATTAGTGGTCTTACCAGATAATGCAAATTTGTCATTTTAAATGTCTAGACCTAACAATTCTTTGATGTAAGGCTTTCTGAAATGGATTAAGCACTTTCCTGCCTTGGGAGGAAAAAAAGCCATGTGGCCATAATTGTAGACTTTTCTGAATGACACAAAACTGTAATTGTGAAGCGCATGTGTTAGTTTGGTAATATAATGGGGCCCTGAGAACAGGGCTCAGTGAGGCTGCCAGGGCTGGCATCTTCCCCACAAGGCACATCTCTGCCGCCAGGAGTGAGTGGCAGCTTCTTCCCTCCTTGTCACATCCTGATGTGACAGCTTCTGACAGCATCCCACCTCCCTTCACTAACTCGGCAATGAACCAAGTGTAGGCACTTAATCCATCAGTGGGTTTAATTTCACCCACAATTCTAAACCATGAGGCCTGGGGGAGCTTCACAACTGAGTCAGGTACACAGAGTTTTGTACAAAATTTTCCACAACACGCATTTTTTTTTTCCCTTAAAGGTCTATGACAATGCAAGTCTCATAAAAGCTGATTGTGGGATAAATGGTATGATGCTTTATTTTACTTTAATTGTGCAACAATAACGTCAGTGCTGTCATGGCTAGGGTCCCGAGGCAGAATAAGACTGTGTACAAAATAGTTTGAGAAATGAGCCTGAAGTTGGGTATGGATTATTTTAGATCCCTTTCCTGAGCTGCTTCTCCATTGTGTATGCTTAAGTCATGGGATAGGAACAGCTTTATAAGTCTTTTGGATGTTCAAAAAACCAAAGTAAATGTTAAGAATGCTAAAAGAAATAACAGTACAGTCATCTCAGTATTCTGTATTTATACAAAGACCAGATTTGCAGTCATTGTATCTATTCAAAACATACCTGAGTGTTTGGAAGCCAGAAAGGGCTCAAAACAAGGAGAATAATTGTCATAAAGCCCATGTACTAGAGTCCCTGGCCGGCACCCAGGGGAAACGAGTCACTCAGATGGCCTTCAGCCTGGGTTCCATGCTCCACTCCTGGGCCCCAGCATGAGACCACGTGAAAAGGGTGATTGTAAGGAAATCTGGGTTCTGCTTCCCAGATCTCCAAAAGCCAGTGAATGACTATGCACTCTGTTCATCTCCTCTCGGGAGAAGATAATCCCTTTGAGAAAAAGTCCCCTTACACAATTAAAAGTTCAGGTTTCTTGGCATCAAATGAGGGTAGCTTTCAGTTGTCTGGAAAAATTGTTCATACAGGCACCACCAGCAGATAGGCATTCTGGATTTTTCCTTGGCCTTCTGAAACAGGGTGAGGTTTTGCTCATGAGAGGTGCTCGTTTTGCCTATGCACTGCTTTAGAAATAACTTCACCAACATGTTCATCGTTCCATTATAATTTATAGGCAAGTTTTGATTATCCACCAGGCAGGTTCCTGGCACGGTTTTCAGCCCTCTGTTTGTCGTTCTCACCTCCCACTGACACACGCTTGCTGCAGCTTGTAGCAACTTAGAATTTCCCCTGAGTCACGGCTCAGCCGTCCCCCACTCCGAAGAGGGCTACAAAGCAAAACAGGCTACAAACCAAAACAACCCTGATCTACCTTTCCCCAGCCTTCCCCAAGAGAGTTAGGAGGTCCCCAGGGAGACCTGTGGCGGGGGGCAGGGAGCTGTGATCAGGGACTGTAGTCGCCAGGTGCAGAGCCCCAAGTGCACACATGCCAGTGGCCTGGAGGCTGGAGAGTGGGGCACTGACTTGGGCATCGTTTTGTTGTTTCAAGTATTCTGTGTTCCTGAGACATGGGACACTCCCTCCCTGCCTCAGATTCTAGAAGTGTACAAATTGCAAATTCCCATCGTAAGTCCTTCCTTCCTGTCTGCACCATGAGCCTCCAGGGAAAGCAGCACTGCAAGCGATTCACAGTAAAGGACCTCTTAAAGATATCTGACTGCAAGTGCAAAGGATAAAATATTGGAAGCTGAGCTAAACTTAGAAAGGTTTTGGCTGAGGGGGGTCTTCTGGGTCCCCCAGCCCCTGAGCCAGAGCAGCCTCCACGCCCTCCTGGAGCCACGGTTCTCACTGGCCGGGTCCGATGCCTCGGTCTCGGCTCTGGAGATTTCTGATTTCGGCTGGTCTAAGGTTCGAGTGTGAGTACTGGGATCTCCAAACATTGCCAAGTGAGGCTCATGTGCAGCCTAGATGGAGAGTCTCTGGCTTAGAGCCTCCTCGCTTGGCTGGCTGTGTTTGCGAGTGAGGCTCTTCAATGGCACAGCTGTGGCTCTGCTGATTTAGCATAAACATTTGGCTAGGAAGGGGAGGAGTGCACACACACAGAGGACAGTTCAGGAGCCACGTCGCGTCCTTAGGTCAACACTTCATCCGCTCATTCCCTCCACAAACATTTAGGAAGGTTGCCATGTGTGTACGTGCTCAGTCTTGTCACCTCCCTGTGATCCCATGGACGGTAGCCCACCAGGCTGCCCAGGCTGTGGAATTTTCCAGGCCAGGCAAGAATACTGGAGCAGGCTGCTACTAGGATGCAAAAATTCATGATGACTTCACTGACCTCGAGGCCAAACCAGCTCTCTGGAAGAAGCATTTGGACACAGTCTGCAGGCCCCCCAGGGCCCCCCACAGGAGTGCTTCCTCTTCCTTGTTCATGCCCAGTTAGTGACTCATAAGGCGCCTATGCTTGCACACGGTCTGACAGAACATACATTATCCTGCTGCCTAGAGTCTCCGGTTGCTATAGAGTGCAGTTGCCTGAATTATGACAGTTATCTCTGCTAATAAAGTTCACTTTTTCACTGCAGAGTTATAAATACATATGCAGCTTGCATACCCAAGGAGGCCCGTGGGAGGAAACGCTGAGGCCCTTCTAGAACAGAAACCACTCCCTAGCACCTGCACATATATAACTTTCCTGATTCCTCTACCAAAAAGGTTCATTTTCCGGGCTTACCGATGGCAAGGATTTACTGTAAAGAGCCCTGGTAAGAAAATCAGCATCCTTGACACGTGCTTTTTTTTTCCCCTCGGGCCCCGAGATAGACTCACAGCCATCCACTTTCCTTCTCCCAGGGGAAAACTGGTCCCACAGTCTCTGAGGAAACTGGGATGGCATTAACTGGGATGGTAAAAAAAAAAACAGCCAAATGTTGATCAGGAAGAGGCGCACAGGAAGGAGCATGGCCAATCTTGTAAATTTCAGCCACACAAATAAGTTCATTAAATCAAGGATGTGCTCAGGGTGCTGGCAAGGCATATAAAGCAGCAGCAGACAAATAAATCTGGCTGGTGATCTGGAGAAGAAAAGCAAGTGGAGGAATTTTCTAAGAGGAGCTTTAACTTTTTACTGAATGCAGTAATACTATAAATTACCAATCAGCTGGCTATAATTTTACCATTTAGCACGGATTGAGCGACTTGCAAGAGAGTGTACCATGTGGGTAATAACAGGTAAGGTGGTGAATGTTACAGAGCACATTTCTTTAAAATATATAGCTAGCTACTTTGGTAATAAATATGCTTATTTGCAAAGAAAATTACGATTATGGTGTGAATAGCATGTAGCAGGCCTGGCTGGTTGTCTCACCAACAGCTTTTTCCTCCCGGTTTCCTTTTTAGTCGAGCACTGGTTCGGGAGGGGGATGGGTGTCTAGCCTCCCCCATGTGACACAGTGGAGAGTGACTTTTCCCTACTCCCGGGATCAAAGGGAAATCCTGCCTTCCTAAGCCAATCTCAGGGACCATTCCCTTGTGCTGGGGTTGGTGCAGGGACGGGTGTGCTGGGTGGTCTGCAGCCAGTAGCCATCACATTCCCTTCTAAGTCTAGAAAGCAAGCTTCCCTGGAGTCACTGTCTTTGTTCCAGAGGATTGCTCACAAGAGGAATTCGGGGCAAAAGGATGGTGTCAATCCTCTAGGGTTGGCTCCTTTCGCACGTGAGCAGGTGAGAGATTGTCAGCAGCTTCCTGGCACAGACTTGAGGAATCACACATTCAGGTGGTGCTTCAGGCTAAGATCACGCAGGCTCAAACTCCCTGATCATCAAGGATAGTTCCCAGCTCCCCCAGCAGTCACGTGCGCCCCTAACTCTGTATCAAGTCTTTTCTATCCAGAATGCAGAGAATGGCCTTCGTTGTCCACCTGAACCCTGACTGACACAGCAGCTGTGTGGTCCGGTTCTGCCCAATAGGCTGGATGGCTTCTCCTCACTCCTGAGAAGGAGACGCTGGAAGAGACATCCTCTCTCTGCCTCTGTGATGATGTGGCACTTGGATGTGGTGCCTGGGACAGCTGTCCTGACTTGCCGCCAGCCTGAAACAGAGCCAGTGTGCAAGTAGAAGGCAGAAATGCCCAGCAAGAGGAGCTGGAGCCCTGAGAATTTTCAGCCAGTGGCCTTGTAATTAATTGGTGCAGACTCATTCCTTAGGAAGCAAATGTAAAAATGGCTTTACGTGGACCGCCATGTTTTCTGGGGATGAGACATTACACAGTGATTCACGCTTGCTCCCCATCTTTTCCTTTCCATATTCCCACCCTTTTGGCAAGGAATATCCAGATCACCTGTGTCTCAGATGCATCACACACCTCTGAAATAGCTATGTGAGTTATAGGCTTGCACTGGCAGATGTGTCTACAATATTACTGCATCTTTATCTTTTTTCTAACCCCAATTAGACTTTAAAATACACTTACATTGCCAAAGCATTAGCAGCACGATTCTATGATTTTGAATTTCTTCTTGTTTTATCAACATACAGGCAGTCCTCACATTGCATGGTAGTTTAGGAGCATAAAAATGACCATGTAAGCTGAAACAGAGCAAAGTAATCTTAGTAATCAATAGGACAAAGGACAATTGCTTCATTAAATTTTTTTGCCAAAATATTAAAACGTTTCACTTTCATTTGTAGATGGACAGGAATAGTTTAAAAACAGCAACACTGTAAATCAATCAAGTTAGAACACACCCTCACACCATTCACAAAAATAAACTCAAGACGGCTTAAAGACTTAAATATAAGACATGACAACATAAAACTTCTAGAAGAGAACATAGGCAAAACATTTTCCGACATAACTCATACCAATGTTTTCCTAGGTCAGTCTCCCAAGGCAATAGGGGAAAAAAAAAAGCAAAAATAAATAAATGAGACCTAATTAAACTTAAAAGCTTTTGCATGGCAAAGGGAACCATAAACAAATTAAAGACAACTTATGTACTGGGAAAAAATACTGCAAATGATGAAACTGACAAGGGCTGAATTTATAAAATGTACAAATAGCTCATACAATCAACAACAAAAAAACAAACACCACCATCAAAAAATGGTCAGAATACCTAAATAGACATTTCTTCAAAGAAGACAGATGGCCAATAGGCTCATGAAAAGATGCTCAACGTTGGTAAATATTAGAGAAATGCATATCAAAGCTACACTTCAACCCAGTCAGACATTAAAATGTCTACAAATAACAAGTGATGGGGAGGGTGTGGAGAAAAGGAAACCCTCTTATACTTTTGATGGGAGTGTAAATTGGTGCAGCCATTATGCAAAACAGTATGGAGTTTCCTCAAAAAAACTAAAAATAGAGTTGCCCCCCCCCGTGGAGGGCAAGGTGGGGGGAAGGGAGGTGTGGACTGGGAGTGGGCTTATATCCAACAAAACTACAATTCAAAAATACACATGCTAAAATAATAAAAAGTTTTAAGAATAGGATAAAATAAAAACTTTTAATTTTGAAAATTAAAAAAAAAATAAATAAGAAAATTCACATCACCTTTATGTTCATAGCAGCACTATTTACAACAGCCAAGACATCTCCTAAATGTCCATTTAGGTACAACACCTAAATATGTCCATCAACAAATGAGTAGACACAATAGAATATTACTCAGCCATAAAGAAGAATGAAATAATGCCATTTGCAGCTGCATGGATGGACCTGGAGATGATCATGCTCAGTAAAGTAAGTCAGAAAGAGAAAGACAAACACCATATGATATCACTTATATGGAGAATCTAAAATATAAAACAAATGGATATATCTTACGAAACAGATATGACTCACAGATATAGAGGGTAGGAAGGGTGGGGGAGGGATGGATTGGGAGTTTGGGATTAGCAGATGCAACTTTATTGAGCTGGTCAAAATATTCATCTTATGTAAAATCTTAGGGAAAAACTCGAATGAACACTTAGGCCAACCCAATATTTTACATAGAATGGACAAATAACAAGGTCCTACTGTATAATGCAAGGAACATTCAATATACTGTACTAAACCATGACGGAAAAGAATATAAGAAAGAGTGTATATAAAACTGAATCACTTGGCTGTACAGCAGAAATTGACACAACATTGTAAACCAATTATACTTCAATAAAATAAAATTTTTAAAAAATGGCAAAACTAATATTTAATGGATTATTATTTAAAACAGAAACACTGATAAAAGATTTTATCTCTTGGTAAAAACTGTATCAAATAGTTTGAATAGTGCTCCCCTTTAGGGCATCTTTTCTGTGCCTTAGCAAATATCATACCCTTTCTAACTTTAGATCAGCTTTCAATATTTTATCCTTTGCACTTTCAGTCAAATATCCTTGAGAGTTCCTTTAACATGATATTTTTACAGTGTACTTCTTTTGGGACACCACCTTTTGGCCACACTCTTTATTTACATTTATAAATTTGCCTTCTAGCTGTGTACACTTTCTTCCTTTCTTTTTATTGGCTGCACCACATGTGGGATCTTCCTATACTTTCTTGAATAGCAGCAATGTCAACATTCTGAATATAGAAATATATTAGATATATTTCAGATGTATGAGATAATACATTAGATAATATCAGAATAATCCTGATACAGTAACAACTGTTACTATCATTGTTGTAAATTCCATTCCAAAACTACCTGCTGCTGCTGCCAAGTCGCTTCAGTCGTGTCCAACTCTGTGCGACCCCATAGACGGCAGCCCACCAGGCTCCGCCGTCCCTGGGATTCTCCAGGCAAGTACAATGGAGTGGGTTGCCATTTCCTTCTCCAAAGCATGAAAGTGAAAAGTGAAAGTGAAGCTGCTCAGTTGTGGCCGACTCTTCCCAACCCCATGGACTGCAGCCCACCAGGCTCCTCCATCCACGGGATTTTCCAGGCAAGTGGGGTGCCATTGCCTTCTCCGCCAAAACTACCTGGTGGGTTCTAAACCAGTCACAGCAGGACTTCCCTGGTGGTCAGTGGTTAAGACTGAGCTTCCAATGCAGGGGGTGTGGGTTTGATCCCTGGTCAGGGAACTAAGATCCCAAATGCTGCAGCCAAAAAGTAAAAAACAGTAGCTTCATGGAGCACAGTGTTGAAGAGGACTTTGAGGCTATTGTCTAGTGCTATAGTTGATGGGCAAGGTCTGTCAGACTTCAGGGAAAAGAGAGAAGAGAGGATACATGCTCTGTACTGGCCATTCCTGGTCTAGAACCTGGCTCTTAGTTGCCAGCACATCAAAAGATATTTGATCTCTCAGGGGTGGACTTGTGCCAACCAACCAAATTTATAAGACATTGATTTATTGACTTTAACTAGAAATACAAGTGTGCACCAGTTATGAAGTGGGACTCTGTATGGCATAAATAAGAAATTTAGTCTTTGGAGTCAGCCTGACCTAACTTTGCACCATGGCTGCACCTCTCACCAGCTGCATAGCTCCTCAGACCACTCAGTTGATACAGACATTGACCCTGTGTTTGAGATTGGAAGGGAAAAAAAATGTCCTGATTAATGACCGATGTCTGAAGCAGTCAGGGGGGAGGAGTAGGGGTGGCTATTTTGGTATATATTGCTGTATGTTCTAGTTTTTACAGATCGATGCACTATCTTCCAATGAGAAGTCCATTTTCTAGAATTTAAAAACTGCTTTTGAGTATGGATATAAAAGATGTTTGCTGCAGGATTTTTATGGCTGGTATCATCAAGCTATCTTCATGTTACCAACACAAATGACACATGAATAAGAAATGATCATTTGTGGTTCTGGACAGCCACTCTCCTGCCCAGAGCAGGAGAAAAAAATAGACAAATTTTGTATCCTGTCTACCCTCCTTTTCATATACACCTTACATATCACCTGTGCTAAGAGGAATATTATGCAAGCCATAAAGGAGAGCTACACAGGCTAACATTTTCTAGTAGTCATGTGAAAAAAGTAAAACGTTTCTACATGTTTTCACAAAAAAATTTATCATATAATTTTATTATTCATTATACCTACAAACTCTCCCTCTCAGAGAATAATCTTCTAATCTAGCATTGGGCCTCAGGACTGTTATCTCAGAGGAGACTGGCAGTCTGGTCCCCTGGAGTCCCTGACCTCCCAAGTGTGCAGCTGCTCCTGGGGGGCTGACAGCGGCTGCCCAGCCCGGCACTCAGGGCTCTCTCTGTGGAACACTGGGGGCTCCACAAGCACTGCTCGGGCAGGCTCTCAGCCATGCTAAATTATTTTCCTATCTTGGATTCACTCAAAATTTCCCCTATAATCATGTATTTTAAAAACTTGGACAAAAGGACAGGTTTCTTTCTTCTTCTTCAAGCTGCATTTATGGAAGTGAATCTATGGTTCTCAGACTCAGTAGGTCTGGGATAGGGCTCAAAGTTTGCATGGCTCAAAGTTCCCAAGGGATGGCAATGCTGCTGGTCCAGGGACCACACTTTGAGGATGACTGGTTCATACTGGGTTGACCAAAAAGTTCATTTGGATCCTGGACAGATCTTTTGGCCAGCCAATGTCATTTATTTAATTGGAGGAAGGAGATGAGGACACTTTGGTATTTGAAAGTAAAAGAATTTTGTAAAGTGGAAAGTTTCAGGTTACACCTTGCCTCCAAAAGAAGCTAATTCCAATTCTTAGTTATTCTTCTCCAGTGAAGTGAAGTGAAAGTCACTCAGTCGTGTCCAACTCTTTGCGACCCCATGGACTATACAGTCCATGGAATTCTCCAGGTCAGAATACTGGAGTGGGTAGCCTTTCCCCTCTCCAGGGGATCTTCCCAACCCAGGGGTCGAACCCAGGTCTCCCTCATTGCAGGCGGATTCTTTACCAGCTGAGCCACCAGGGGAGCCCATTCTTTTCCAGAACCATGCCCCAGACGCCGCCTCTTTTGAACTTTTCCCCCACTCCTACGAGAGCACCCAGGGTCTTCCTCTGTGCTTGCCCAGACCTCCGTCACAGCCTGCTTCTGTCCCAGATGCAGTAAGCACTGGGCACATATGCTGACAGCCTTTTGGGTGGCAGCATCCTGCCCCCAGCACCAGAGCCTCTCACACAGTCCTCGGCCAAGGAGCACTGGATGACCGAGTGAATGAAAGACACGTGTCTGGAAGAGAAGAAGGGGGCTATTTACATGTTAAACCTTTTCCTAAGTGTAAGAGA